TATATATACCCTATTAATGGGTACATTATGACAAGTGGATCGTCTGAACAGTGGGTAATTAATGATTTTTGGGTGGTGTGTGGTAGCAGGAGCACATCAAATATGTGATTCTGGTGGTAATATGTACTTTCCGAATTGCATACATTTCATGGTAAAATAGTTGTTTTTAATTTTTTTTTTATATTCAGCTGAACCCAACTAAGCCTTTAGAGTTTTTTTACAGAGCAAAATGATTTGCAAACTTTTAACATTTGTACTCGTATGTAATAATATGAACAGTTTAACATAATGACTGCTCCCTTCATATTGAACTGTACTATATTAGGACCGCCCCCTATACCATGCTTGCGCACAACACATGCGCAGTCGTCAGTTGCTGAGCCAGTGTTAGCCATATCGTACACATTTGGAGCGTCAGAATACACGTTATATGTTTAAACCATGTTGTCACTTGTTAGTGATTATCACAGACAGACATAACATTCCATGGTGTCAGAAGTGTTCGTGTTTGCTCTGACGACAATATGCAGTCACTAAAACCTCCGCAGCCATTGGATTTGTCCGGGAGAAATCTCAGCGATAACTGGACAAGATTCACGCAAAGATTTCACGTGTATATTGCGGCGAGTCGTGGGGCCAAGAAGGATGATGCGATACAAACCACTATCTTCCTGCACGTGATTGGGGAACCAGCCCTGGAAATTTATAAAGGTTTCACGTGGGCCGAAGCAGCTGACGCAAATGATCTGGCCAAGATCCGTTTGAAGTTTAACGACTATTGTATCCCGAGAACGAACACTTTCGAAAGACACCGGTTTTTCACAACAGTACAAAAACTAGATGAGTCCATAGACCATTTTGTGACTGAATTACGCACGCGAGCAGAGACGTGTGCATTTAGGATTTTGCAAAACGGTTTGATCCGTGATAGTTATTTGTGGGATACCAAGTAACACACTGAAAAAACGCCTTCTGTGTGAGGAGAAGTTAACATTGGCGAAAGCGATAAACATTTGTAGGGCGGAAGACGCCACCCTTTCACAAGTTGGTCAGTTGAGTGGCGAAGCATCAGGTGCTAGTGGTAGTTGTACATCGTGTGATGCTGTATACAAGCGACAGCCGAAATCTAGTGACGAGTCAAAGGGACATAACTCTCGCAACCAAGAAGTGAAGAAGGATAGTTGCAAGTTTTATGGGTACAGGCACCGACCAAATGCCTGTCCAGCCAATGGTAAACAATGTATTAGGTGTGGGAAAATTGGACATTTTATCAAATGTTGCCCAAACTCAGACAAACGCAAGCAAGCACAGAAGGTTCATGCAGTGGAGACTGAGTATGACATTGACAATGAACAGTCTGACGAGTTCTTTGTTAATATTGTAAACACAGCTAACACATCACAGAGTTGGATACTTCCATTAGACGTTCATGGTACTGTATTACCTATGAAGTTGGACACTGGTGCTAATGCCAATATCATTAGTGAACATGACTTTTGCTCCATAAGACGTAAACCCAAGTGGCACACAAGCAAAGTGAAATTGACAGCTTATGCTGGTCATAATGTGCCAGTCAAGGGACAATGTATCATGAACTTTGAACACAAGGGGAAGGTAAACAAAGCACTGTTTATCGTGACTTCAAGAATGTGAGAAATTGAGATTAGTCCGACGTGTTTGGCAAGTGGATGCAGAGAATCAGGAAGACACAAATACAGATTCTGAACAGAGGCAATCAGTGAACACAGAATCACACAAGAGAAAGACTTCAGGTTTCTGTGACAGTGTACGCACAGAATATGCAGATATATTCAAAGGGTTAGGTTGTTTGCCCGGAATACACAAGATTCGTCTTGACGATGTGGTGACACCTGTTGTGGAACCTTTCAGAAAGGTACCATTTGGACTGCATGATAAACTCAAAGAGGAACTTGACAGAATGGAATCTCTTGACGTGATTACAAAGATTGACAAGCGACAGAGTGGGTCAGCTCACTGGTCGTGTTTGTCGATCCCAAGAACCTCAACAAAGCCATACGGCGAGAGCATTTTAAACTTCCGACCAGAGAAGAAATTATGTCAGAGTTTGCTGGAGCCAAAGTATTCACGAAGTTGGACGCATCCAGCGGGTTTTGGCAGCTGCGACTAGATGAGGATTCATCCATGGTATGCACATTTAGCATGCCATTTGGGAGATATCGCTATCTCCGTCTACCATTTGGAATATCCTCTGCCCCAGAAGTCTATCATAGGACTATCTACAACATGTTCAGTGACATACCAGGTGTTAATACCAGTATGGATGATGTTATTATCCAGGGAGCATCTCAGGAAGAACATGATGCCAGTCTAAAGCGTGTCTTAGAGAAAGCCAGGGAAGAGAACTTGAGGCTGAATGCAGACAAGTGCGTTATCAGTGTTTCTGAACTGACGTTCATTGGAGATGTTATCAGTGACAAGGGAGTCAAGCCTGACAGCACCAAGATCGAAGCAATCCATGCAATAGATAGACCAACCAACAAGAAGGAATTGCAGAGATCCCTAGGAATGG